CATCAACAGGGAAGAATTAAGCAAAAATTTTCAGTAAAAGTTGAATTTAAAATCTTATACAGAAAAAAACGCAATTGGAGCAATAAATTTCTATTATTTTGCAAAAATAAAGCTAACGAGAGCGTATTTAGATCATTTATTAAATAATATATGATATTAGATGTGATTTATTGATGAATTAAGCACAAATTTTCAACAAAAGTTCTATTTTAGTTCATAAACGTGGGTCGTTTAAGACCGAAAAAATGTAAAAAACACCATAAATAATAATTTTTTGGCAAAAATAAAGCAAGCAGGAGCTCTTTATATCATTTATCGGTTAATCTATATTATCAGTTATCATTTATCGATGAATTAAGCAAAAATATTTGGCAGAAGTTCTATTTTGGTTCCCAAACAATCGACAGGTAGCTATACATGGGTTTTTTTTGGGAACCGAAATCGAACACTAGGACAAATTTTTCCTTAATTCATCAGTAAATGACAACTGATAACGATAAGTAATTAATAAATGATAAGAACTAGCTGTGGCTTGCTTTATTTTTATTCAAAAATGACCATTTATGGTGTTTTTTATGTTTTTCCGTTCAAAGTCGCATCATGTATATGAACGAAAATCGAAATCGAAAAGTAATGGAAAATTTAAGTTTTTTGAAAAAGACCGAATGCAACTTATGCTCTCCTAATACAAATGTTGAAATTTATGAAAATTTTCAGTTTTGAGCCAAATACGAGGGTTATTCGAAAAGTAATATAAAATTCAAGTTGTTTTTTGAAAANAACAAGTATTTTAATTACTTTATAACAATTATATACTTCTACTGTAGTATATATATATTGAAAGTAATAAACCTTATTTTCAACTTTACAGAACCGTTTAAACAGTTACCAGAATGTTTCAAACAAAGCATTACGTACATACTTCTTTTTAAATATTTTCAGCCATCTCACCTAGTTGATGAATAAATAAATGAATAAAGCAGGTACTAGAAACAGCCAGAAATTAGTCCAATTATTTGAATGCAAAAACAGTTCATTCATCAAATTCAAACCATCCTACCTTTTGATCCAATCTGTTATGTCCTATTTTTCACCATAGAATCGTTCCTAGTTTAGACAACAAGGTTTCTTAAGACAGGAAGGGAATACACTGTCTCTGCAGGTTGAACTCCTAAAGGAAAATTCGTTTGACAAAAACAGGAATACATGTATTCCAACATGTACCTATCTGTGAAAAGAAAAACTAATGAAAGATAAAAATACTAATTTTGCAGAAAAAAGGAAACAGTAATTTTGTTAACAAAAAACTTTATAAAATAAATGTAATTACTATTATTAAAAATACATAAAAAGCTTTCCATGCTTTATTATTCGATACAATCTTTCGTCAACTCATAGGTAATTCTGCAATAGTTCTAAAAATATTTATAGCGTCACTTACACTGGATAAGGTGTATATAAATTTTTTTTACATTAAACAGTAATATTAAATTTAACATAGACACCTATTACAAATCAAGAGAAAGTCAAAGTTATAATCTAAATAAGTATTATTTTCTTTTTAATAGTTACCATTTCATCAAACTGTTTATATTTAAATGCACAAAAAGGTTGTATNGACATACATAATTAAAACACTTACAACCAGAAACAATTAATAAAATTTTTTATGTAGGGTTTTAGGTATGCAGTGAATCTACTTTGTTTCACAGAAGTTTTGATTTTCTAGCATAAGCATACACCTATGTACAGTAAAGAATTATGAATGAATTCACTCTGATATTGTCTGAACTTTTTGTTTATTCTACCTATTCTTACTTTAATTACCTACATATTTCTCAAGCTAGAGTAAACGTGATGTGCTATCATCTTATTCACAGCTCAAACTGCATTGAAAAGCACAAAAACAGATTAAATGCACTACTAAATTAAGATATAATAAAAAATAAAAACAAAGCAAATACCAGAAACAGATAGAAATTAGTCTATTTGATTATTAAAACAGTTCATTCATCAAATTTAAGCAACCTTACCTTACGGTCCAATCTGCTCATGTCCTATTTTTCATCATACAATCGTTACTACCTCCAGAGTTTACTCCGGGTCCTATAACCATAATAAAGTTTGATAGGAAGTGGTCCCAAAACAGCACTAATTGCTGGACATACTATAAGTACCATTTTCTGAAAAAAAAAAAATAGAAAATGTTTTAATCCATGTTATAAAATCGTAGGAAATGGTATATACTTGATAAATTACATATAAATTAAGTCAAATCTAATGAACACAAGTTTTTTTACAAAGAAAAATTTAGATAACCCATTTACTTATCATAAAGTTTCCGAAAAAAACATATCGTAATCAGCTATATAATTATATTTTGACTATTCCATTGACTTCGAGCAGAAATTTTTACTCAAGAATTTTAATATATTACTTTTCAAACTTACATGCAAGTAAAAAGCCAATATGGGCCAACGCATGGACCAACTAAGGTCAAATAATGGCATATTGGCTGCCAGTTCCAGTTCCATTCTTTTATCTATGGGATTGGTTTAATTCATAGATATTATAAAGTTATTTTAATTATTTTCTTTTTTAAATTATTTACAGATGAGGTTAACAATTTTAAGTTTTCAATAAAAAATGTTTTAGTATAGCAACAGAATAAATTGAAGTTTATAAAAAATCTTTTTTATAACTACTAGGCACAATAAATATATAACTTTTATTTGTCAACTTTGATGTCCAAAACCAAAGTTAATTTGTAATTTACTGTTACAACAACAGTAAAGTAGTTTGAGTACCTATCACACTTTAATCAGACGTTAATTCAGTAGTTATTTCAAAGCCATATTCAAAGCCGGAATTAATTTTTTGGTTAAATTCTACAACCGTTTACGTAGCATTAGTCACGAAATGTTAACAGTTGATAGTTACTCAAGTTCCTAAGATTTTGTTTTCGAAAATATGAAGTATTCATAACCTCATTAAATATGTTACACGTCAGTTAAAAAATATATTTACACCTAATGAAAAATATTAAGGAAGCTTTCAAATAATGGTAAAATGCAAAGAAAACACTTCGACGAATATGTTTTCTGCATTTTTGCTTCAGTTCTTGTTATACACAACTCTTTTTCAACGGTATGTGACTATGAAAAATCCTTTTTATGTAATAAGGATTTCTCTTTTTGTAGAAATTTTCGTACTGTAGGTAACACTATTCTATCAGAGGATGATCTTACAAATAATTCATCACCTAGAAATAAACCATTTATCGATGTAACTAATCTAACTGGAAGGAATTCTAGCAAAATCAAGAATAATGCAGTGAATGGAATTGGGATTGAAGGATCCACTGAATTTGCTTTTTCACAATTAGCTCAGAATTCGGGAATTTCTAACGGGTAATTATTGAAAAGTATATTGATATGTAATAGTTCTAACTTACTGGACAGAATTAAAGGATTTATGATGTGTATGGTCAGTTATATGTTAATTTTAAAATAAGAGTATTTTACTGAAGTAGTATAGAGAGTTATTTCTCTTATATGGGGAAACAACAATTGTTTTTAAATAAACTAATATTTGATGTAATCACTTGGATTAGTTGCATGTATGTCTTTGCTTGCATACAGAAGTTTGATTGTAATCTCAAATTTTGTCTATTATATTTTAAGATGTGTGCTAAATGAAGTAAAATCATTAGAAGCTGAAATCTTTAAAATCTTATCTAAAGTTTTGCAAGATTCTTTATTAGTGTAAAAGAACTCATACACCAAGAACCTTGGTATTGTAAAGCCTATTTAAAAACAACAAGTATTTTAATTACTTTATAACAATTATATACTTCTACTTTAGTATATATATANTAAATATCTTTTCCAGTGTGACTGAAGAAGAGGCAGATGTATTTACATTGATGGATACAACAACAGAAATAGATAGAAATGCTGAAATAGTACAGGAACAAACTTCTAGTCAAGTTGAAAGTTCTAATGCAGAAGAAGAAAATTATGCTGATGATAATTCACCCACCCCTCAAAATTTTGAAATGTTAACAAAGGATGATTTTACTGATAATGCAAATGTAGAAGAGCTGGATAGTGAAGGGGTTCCTGAAGATAATGTAACTGGAAAGACTGAAAATTTAGTAGTTGATAGACCAAAGGAAAACTTAACAGAAGAAATTCCTTCATTTTCAGAGTGGGCTCAGAAACAATTAGAGCAAGCAGAAAAAAATAAAGAGCAAGTTAATTCTTCTACTCAGAGTTCACAGATAAACGGAAAATCTGTGAAAAAACGCTCTAAAAATTATGCATCTCCTGATTGTGGAGCTAAAATTATAGCTGCAAATCCTGAAGCTATCAGTCCAGGTTCTGTTTTATCCTCTTCTAGAGATGAATATAAGCTTAACAAGTGTACTAGCCGTATTTGGTTTATTGTAGAACTTTGTGAAGCTATACAAGCAAAACAGATAGATTTAGCTAATTTTGAATTATTTTCGTCATCGCCTAAAGATTTTAGTATATATGTAAGTGATAGATTTCCAACTCGAGATTGGTCAAACGTCGGACATTTTACAGCCAAAGATGAAAGAGATATTCAAACATTTGATCTTCATCCTTATTTGTTTGGAAAGTTTATCAAGTTTGAAATGCACACTCATCATGGATCAGAACATTACTGCCCAATTTCATTGTTCAGAGTGTTTGGAACTTCAGAGTTTGAAGTTTTACAAACCGAAGAGCAGACACACTCTCACAATATATATGATGAAGATGATGATGATGAAACGTTAGATTTTGACCATGAGGATGTTCCTAGAAATCTACTTAGTTCAGCCACAGATGCAGTTATTTCAATAGTAAAAAAGGCTGCTCAAGTTTTAGGGAAAAAAGGAAATATTTCAAATGAGACAGTAACTGTAGGCAGTAATAAAAGTATACCAACATTTGAAAAAAGCGTAGAATGTGTATCTCCAACACATATTTTGGTTTGTAATAATTGCAGTGATGAAATGTATGCCGATGTTTATAATATTATCAGCTGCCAATCTAGAGTATTACATGCATTAATAAGTAATGAAAATTTAAAAATTGCTTTTAAAAATTTAAACTTGTGCAGTAATTATGGTTTGAATTTCTATAGAAATGGGGATTCTGTGGCTAAAATTCATTATTTAGTTTTAATGTTTCTTCCTCCAAAATACGTAGCAGCACTTTGTAACATTCTAGCTGTGTTGGAGAATAAAGTAGTTCGTAATTCTACTGTTCACTGTTTTAATTGCACAAAAAGTTTGCCAAAAGAAAATAATGATAAGACATTCCAAGGCAAAATGGAGAATATTGTAGAAAGCGCTTTATCTTCTCAAAAGAATCTTAAGAAAGAAGATGAAATGATTGATTCTGAAGAAAAAAGAGATCTTAATTTAAGTTCTTCACATGTAAATAAGACAGATGTGAATCTTAAAAACGAAGAGGAAATTACTGACTTGTCATCTAATTTTACAAGTGCTTTAGATAGTTCTCAAATTAAACATGATAAAAATTTAACAAATGCTGAAATAAATTTGGACAGTGATGTTTCTAATATTAATATTGAGTTGGACGAATCTCTAGAGAATTTTTCTTCAGAAGGAATTGAAAATCAAGGTGAAGTGCATGTAACTACTGTACCCCCAGTAGGACCACAATCACAAAATAAGGAATCAGTTTTTGTGCGATTAACAAATAGGATAAAGGTACTTATTTTAATGCTTATAATTCTAATCCAGTAAACTTGATTTTATATTTATTTTTTTAGGCTTTGGAACGAAATATGTCGTTGTCTAGCCAGTATTTGGAAGAATTAAGCAAACGATATAAAAAGCAGGTCGAGGAAATGCAACGTTTATTAGATAAAACGATAACGAATTTAAACGAGGAAAATTTTAAAAACGAAAAAAGAACACAAAAACTTGAAGATCAATTAACACAACTTACAGCAGCGATCGAAGTGTTACTAGCAGAGAGAAATTTTTGGCTGACTTTGTTATATTGGTTGTTAGTAGTATTAATTATCTCGCTTTTTCTTTGCCTTTTTTGTGGGAGAAATTTTCTTTTTCGGCAATCGTCAGTTGGGCTTAAGGAGACAACTGAAGCACAGTTTGGGAATGCTAACGACATTAACGTGAACAAGACTTTATTAAAAAAGAAAAGAAGACGTAGCGAGGACATTTTGAATACTGGTTATCAACATTTATTAATCGAGGAAACGGAAATGAACGAGAAAAGAAAAGATAAGAAGAAGAAAAGGAAAAAATCCCACACATTTGTACGTTCAAAATCAACAACAACATTAGCAGAAGAGGTAATCAATGAAGAGCATAAATATAGAACTATTCATACTGAAGTTGGATTTCCCTTTATGAAATTACCCGAAAATAAAATGGAGTCTTTAAGTTCCTGTAATTATGAGCCAGATTACATTCCCAATAAAATACAAGATGTTCCATTTGTATTAGATGAAAAGGAATATACAGGAGCTGATCCATTTATTTTCAGTGAATATAAAATGAAGCCAAACATTAACGATGGCTGTATTAAAGAAAACAATTATCCAGTGCAAGCATTAACATCACGTATACAAAATGATGGAAACTTGAAGTCCAACAGCAAAACTGTTAAGAATAATTGTAGCAATCACAAAAAATCGTCAAGTGTTGATCTTACCAATAATAAGAAAAAGAAGGAGATTCTTGTTGACAGTTTAAATAGTTCAGAGGAATTAGCTAATCCTTTAACTAATCAGAGAGATAAAAAAGGAGCTTTGAAAAAGATATTGAAATCGCTAAGCTTTAAACATAAAGTAAACGAAGTTCACTAACTGAAGTTACTTTTCCATTTCATAGACTAGATTCCTTTTCCACTATATCAATATGTACTTTGATATAAATATATATGCGATCATTATATTATCGTTTTAGAATATTTTATTTACTTTTATTTATTGCACATACTGTAGTATAGCATTTTGTTAAGTTATTTTTTTGGAGCTTGGTAAGGATACTGTGATAATTTACTATTTTCAATATTTTGTGAGAAGAATTTGACTTACAATTAGTATTTAATAAAAATTAAAATAGTTGTTATCCATTACTTGTTATTTTTTATTACCTTATCTATTACCTTATTTTAAGTAATTCTTATAAGGACGATTCCTTCGAAATCAAGAGTACACTGCAGATCAATGTTTTTCCTCCGGTGAGAATACCGATAGAGTCTTTTATCTGACGTTTCGCGGTTAACATCCCTAGGGAACTTAGTGCGAGCTGTAGTACTCACTGTAGTACTGAGACTGAATCGATACATGGTGTGATGTGTAATTTTTTTACAGGCACAAAATTTACGTCCGCTTTTTTCTGTTAGTAATTTTCACTTGTCTTTCGTCAATTAAAAAATTACTTTATGCCTATTTTAAATAGCTCTCAAGGGCTGGTACCACTACAGAATCCTACATACATTTTCAAATTTACGGGTCCAAAATTTACATGTACTTTTTTCTGTTAGTTATTTTTACTTCTTTTTTGTCAATTAAAAATTTATTACATGTTTATTTTAAACTGCATTAAAGGGCTGTCACCATTACATACATTTTTATTTTTTTTTATTCCTCCCGATGTTCAAAATAATTGTTTCACAGAATTCAAACGTTTACGGACGCTTTTTTCTGTTAACAATTTTTACTCGTTTCTTGTCAATTGATGTTTATTTTAAATTGTAATCAAGACCTATTACTATCACAAAATCCTACATACATTTTTAAATTTTTTTCGTCCGCTGCGATATTCAAAACAATTGTTTTACTGGTTCAAAAGTGCACTTTTTTTGTTAGTAATTTTTACAAATTTTTCACCAATTAAAAATTTATTATATGCTTATATTAAATTGCACTTGAAGGGCTGTCAGCACCACAAAATCCTACATACATTTCTAGAAGTTTTTACCTGCTACGACGTTCGAAACAATTGTTTTACGTGCATTTTTTTCTGTTAGTAATTTTCATTAGTTTCTCACCAATTAAAAGTTTATTACATATTTATTTTAAATTGCACTCAAAGGGCTGTTGGCATAACAAAATCCTACACATTTCTACATGTTTTCACCGGCTACGGCATTTAAAACAATTGTTTTACGAGTTCAAAATTTACGTGCGTTTTTATCTTTTAACAATTTTTTACTCGTTTTTCGTTAATTAGAAATTTGTTTTATGTTTATTTTAAATTGCATTTATGGGCTTTCAACATCACAAAATGTCTCATACAGTTTTAAATTTTTTTCATTCCTCACGATGTTCAAAATAATTTGTAAGTTTAGGTGCGCTTGTTTACGTTAAATTTTTAACTCGTTTTTCGTCAATTAAAAATTTATTGTATGCTTACTTTAAATAGCATTTAAGGGCTGTCATCATTACAAAATCCTACGTACTTTTTTTTTCAACCCTTATGATAATCAAAATAATTGTTTAACGTTTATTTTAAATTACATTTAAGAGCTGTCAGTAACACAAAATCCTTCATAAATTTTTCCGTTTTGTTTTATCGCTTATTATTGATGATATGTAATTGTTTTACAGAGGTCAAAAATTTACGTGTAGTTTTTCTATTAGTAATTTTTATTCATTTTTATTTTTTTTTGGAATAAGAATCTCAAGAGATCTAGGCGCAAATTTATCCTTATTTTCATTTTTATACAAGATATGTACCAGTTCCAAACGAATAAGATGCTTTTGTAGTCACATATTCGTCTCTAAATTCAGTTGCAACTTTAAATCTGTCGTAACTATCAGGAAGTTTATACAATAATACTACTAGCAATAGTTTTCGGTCTATAAAGCCACTTCATTTATATGCATCGTCAAGGAAATTATCAGTATAAAAATGGACGGCATCTCCCTCCTGTAGTTTCCCAGAAGGAACTGCAGGCTCTCGTGGTGCATATGTACACTTAAGAGTTCGCCAAACTTCTCTTCCTGTTTTATTTTCATTAAAATAGAGTTAACGAATCCCAATACTAAATCAGATATTGTATTCTGATCAGTTATAATTAGGGTTGCCACATTTTCAGGCTTTACATAAAGTATTTCTCGACTAAAAGGTAAAAAAAAAGTACTCAGCATAAAAATAAAGTATTTTATTTTTTGTTTTTAAAAACATATTTTTTGTTACACCTAGCAGCCAGTAACAAATTGCTGTCGCTCTTAAATACAAATGGCCTCTAAACATGGCAAACAAAGATTTAAGTAAACTAAAAGTTCATTTTTAATTAGTTTTAATGAAGCTTTATTCCTGTCGTCCCGCCACTTTGCGTTCATAACAGAGAATACTCTTTCCGTAAATGCTGAAGTGGCCGGAACGGACAGCAAAAGTGACATTACTTTGAAAAGATTTGGGAAATCAGGTTGTTCCGTAAATATGACTTGCCATTTTTCTGTGCAATATTATTGATGTAAAAATACTCTGAATTTCGAATAATCGCTTACAAAATTACGATGTTTACTTAAGGCCTTAAATAAAGTATTTTTGAGTACTTTATGTGTCTTGTAAAGTATAACGTACGCACAGTCGAAATAGGGTACAATACATTATAATAAAGTACGGGTGGCAACCCTAGTTATAATCCACCTTGCAATCTGTTCTTGATTGGTGTCATTGAAATCGAATAATAATAAATGCGAATGTAAGTTAGTTTGTTTATTTGCTACCATTTCACGCCTAAACTATTCAACCAATCACCATGAAATTTTGCACACACATTGTCAGAGGCATAGAAAAGGACATAGGGTACCTTTTATTCAGAAAAAAATACTGTTTTCGAGGGATTGAAGAATTAGTTTTATGTGGTCGTTGATGATCATTGAGACGTATTTAGGACATCAACGCGAGTGAAGCTGCAGGTAAAACCAATCACGAAATTTTGTACACACATTGTCAGGGGCACGGAATAGGCACAACATAGGGTACTTTTTATTCAGATAGTAATACTGTTTCCGAGGGATAGAAAAATTAGTTTTATGTGGTCGTCCATGAATTTTGACACATATTTAGGACATCAAGACGAGTGAAGCCGCCGGTAAAACTTATCATGAAATTTTGTACAAACATTGCCAGAAGTATAGAAAAGGACGTAAGGTACCTTTTATTCAGAAAAAAATACTGTTTCCGAGGGATAGAAAAATTTGGCTTATGTGGTCGTCGATGATCTTTGACACTAAGTATTATTAATTATAATGCAAAGTAATCAACCACTTTTTGAAAATTAATTTTCTTATCTTCTTCTTGATAGATTGTAACATCGTTTTCACTGTAAATTATATAAAACAAACAAACTAGGTATGTAGTTATTGTATTGTTTTTTATTTGTTAAAGATTACTTATCAGTGGTGGTTTTACCAATACGCCGTATAGTTTTCGGCCTAGGGTAACATTATCCCGATGATTTGTAAAGGTAGATGACACGTTTCTATTAAGGAGAAACCCGAATCAACAACTAAATCTATCCATATTTTTGAGCGACCAATCTTTGCGTACGGGTGCGAAACATGGACAGTGAGCGCGCCGGAAAAGAAACGACTAGAAGCGCTCGAAATGTGGTGTTATAGGCGGATGATGAGGATAACATGGGAAGAAAAGGTTAGAAATGAAGAGGTATTAGAAAGAATAGGAGAACAGAGGACTTTATGGAAGTCAATAAAAAATAGGCGAGATAGGTTGGTAGGACACCTTCTCAGGCATGAAGGTCTAGTCAGAGACATATTAGAGGCAATAACAGGAGTCAAGAGGGGTTGAGGTAGACCTAGATTAGATTACTGTTCGCAAATAGTTAAGGATGTGGGCTGTTCTAGTTTTAGGGAAATGCGAAGTTTAGCTCAGGATAGGAAAGAGTGGAGGTACGTGTTCAACCAGTCTTAGGGCTGACGACCATATGATGATGAATCTTTGCGCTACTTTTACTCGAATTGAAATTGGAGAAACTGATGAACTGATGAAAATGAACTCCACAAACTATGACGATATTATAGATGATTCGTCAGTAAAAAGTGACTCAAGTAAAAATTTTAGTTCTCTTTTCATTTTAGGCTTCTATTTTATAACTAATTCATTAATTTTCTTTACTTTTCAATACCTACCTTACCTACTCACTTAAATGCGAAAAATACTATTAAAACTAAGTAAATAGATACGAGTTAGTGATTAAGATAAGATGAGTGGCATAATCTGAAGTGGCCGATACTTAAGAAAAGTATAAACCTATTAGTACCACTTGTGTTGTAAAGGTGTGAATATTGTAGTGAAACATGAAGGAATATCCGGATTGCAAGAGAGAAACCAACCCAAGAGTTAACGCAAATTTTCTCAGTATTATCACGTTTTTGTAAGCGTTTCAACTACTCTGTTTTTGTAAATGTGTTTTCCTTCTTTGTTTTTCGATTTTTCCTACAATCAAATATGCACTAATTAAAATATCCGGCCAATCATAGTTTACGTTCTCAGTCTGAAATAAGCGTAGCCTAACATGCTTTTGTTTGTGTGTAGTAAGCTCTATCTATAGAAAATTTGCCTTTAATTGTGGGAACAATTATCATTCAACAATGTCCTTTTTAATTAAGTATATCGACTCCACGTCTGCATGACACGTGAAAACTCAAGAGAACATTAATTTCTTTACCAAGGGATCTGTCGAAATTTCAATTTTGCAACTTATTGCCTTCAGGAACAGGATTCTGACAGGTGTTTCAGTTTAGATAATAGGTGAATAGATGCATATCTTGTATGTTACATGCCAAAATATTTTTGTATTTGTTGGTTTTTAAATGGTCACTTTTTGGTATTTCGCTAGTAAGTAAAAAATATAGGATTCGATAGAAATTCTGAAGCAATGGTCGTGTAGCGATTGAAAATACCTTCAAAATGAAGCACGACAGAAGTCGTTAGAATCATTTAATAGCTTAGAAAACTGACCATAAACGTCAAATAGTATATTTTGTAAAAATGAAGCAACTTTATGATTACATAAGAATAAAGGTTTTATACTTAACATATAGTTAATATTACAGATCAATTTATCCAATAGTTTCTACAAAATTGTAATTATTTATCTGAGAGACCGTTGTTTGCAATTTTGTTTTACTTGCAACAATGATTTTACAAAGATGTAAGAGGAGAGAAATATCATGAAAATAAATTTGTATTTTCAAAAATTGAGATTTCAGTATTGAAAAACAGCGTGCTAAAAAGCATGGAAATTTTTGGTTATATTATAAAGAATTAGAATAGATGGTCACTTTTGTAAAAACATTTTTTTATTAAATGTATAATAACAGAGTTATGGATGAAATCGCCTTAGGTGGAACACCCTGTATGTTACTCAGTTAATGATGAAAGGTTCTTATTTTTAACAAAATCAAGATATGAAAAAGTTTTCCCAAACATATGTTGATATAAAACTACTTAAAAATTGAAAAGCAAGGTCAATTATTACAACAATTTCCAGAAACCATCACTTAATCTTTTTAAAGAAGTCTGTGACTTTTATTTTATATGCAAAAAGGTTTTTTACTGCAGAATGATTTAGCAGTTCACTGAGTTTGGCAGGATAACTGATTACGAAAGGATTAAGAAAAACTTCAAAGTCCTGGAATTTGCTCTCAAACGACTGTATTAAACAACTAATTCTAGTTTTGTAATTGGTAACAATTTTCAAACTAGTTTCATTTACAATTCGTTCGTGGGGCACTATAGAAAGCATTCATATATATGTCTCTTACCTTTAAGGTAGCGGTCATCCACCGTTTTACTATGCAGTCCATGTTCACCCTGAAGGTCAATTCCAAATATTGGTGAAAGAACTTTTGAAATTGGATCAAAGCTTTCGGAGATTACCTTCTATATCCAACCCTACAAACAAATAAATTACAAATTATACCTCTTTATAATATTACTATAGATTACTATAGATATAGACTAATACAGATGAATGAATTTTTGAAATTGGATGGGCACTTTCGGAGATATCTAAGTTTACAATCTTTCCTCCTTATAATATTAGTATAGATATTCATTATCATAAGGGCGTCAATCCTAAGACTGGTTGGATACGCACCTCTACTCTTTTCCATCCTCAGTTAACATTCGCATTTCTCTAAATCTAGAACATCCCCATCCTTCACTATGTGTGAACAGTAATGCAATCTAGGACTACCTCTACTCCTCTTAACTCCTGTTTCTGTCTCTAATATGTCTCTGACTAGACCTTCATGTCTGCGAAGGTGTCGTATCAACCTATCTTGTCTATTTCTTATTGACTTCCATACAGTCCTCTGTTCTCCTATTCTTTCTAAAACATCCTCATTTCTAATCTTCTCTATCCACAGTAATGTTACAACAGACCTCTGGTTCCGCTTCCACAATTACGGAAGTTCCGCATACATTTTCACATTCGCTTCTGCATCTGGTTCCGGATTTTTATAACGGAAGCTTATCAGAACTTAACAAAATCTTATTTCTCATCTTTTTGAAAATCAATTTATCGAAATAATAAAACAAGTCGTAAAAATTTATTACTTATATCTGTTGACTGAACTGATATTTTCCAAATTTTATTCTCTTATTAGTTTTCTACTTTAATCTAGAAACGTCCAACATTTTCAGCTACCCTTAGCCAATTCTCCTAATAATTTCATTGCGAAATGCAAAATTTGTAATCGCATCCGCTTCCGTTTCCGCTTTTACAAAAATTTACTATTTACTTCTGTTTCGGCTTCTGCTTCCGTTATGACACTTCCGTTGCATCGCTAATCCACGGTATCCTCATCATTCCCCTAATAAGTACTTACAATATCCTTAACTAATTTAAATCTAACTGCGACTAAGAAAGTTTGCTAATAGCAAATTATACAACGTTACAATTTATCCTCGAAGAAGGCCCAAATCGAGGGCTGAAACGTCGGGAATATTGTGAAGATATACACCTTTTTTTACCTGAAATAGTTGGGATTGATTTTTTTTAAATAATCTTATCAGGGAAAAAAATTAATATGAACTTTAAAAGAAAATTCAAAGTAATTTATTTTTCATTTTAAGTTTTACTCGTCAAATTTTTGAAAAAGGAGTCAGAAGGGGCATTTATGAACGAGATATTTATGATGTGTTAGACTCCTATAAATCAGAAAACCTAGGAGAACGAATGGAGCAAGAATGGGAGAAGACAAAGAAGAAAAAGTTGCCTGTAATTGCATGTTTATTTAAAATGTTCGGCCTCCAATACATGGCATACGGAATCATTGTCTTCATAGTAAAAACTGCTTTGATGTAAGTTTACCAGATAAACTTTTAACAACACGATATCAATTGACTCAAAATTTACGGTTGAAATGGTAAAAGGACAATTGCAATAAGGACAACTGTAATAGTTTTAATTGTTTCTAGGGTTGTAAAGCCACTATCAGTTGGGAAAATGATTTCTTATTTCGATCCGAACAAAGTAGAAAAAATGGAAAGGGAAGAGGCTCTGTTTTATGCATTTATATTTTTATTCAGCACATTTTGTTGGACTTTATTCACACATAATCAAATCTTTTATATTCATCAGTTTGTGCTGAAAATAAATATTGCGTTAAGTGGACTAATTTATAGAAAATCGTTAAGATTAAGCAGTGCTTCAACTTTAAAATTTACTAGCGGTCATGCGATTACGTTAATAACAAAGGATGTTTTATGCTTCAATGCTGCACCCCAATATGCACATGATATATGGATTGGTGTAATGCATGTTGGATTAATGACTTATATAATTTATCTTCAAATTGGCGTTTCCGCCTTTGCTGGAGTTGGGTTTTTGGTTTTCCTTATTCCAGTGCAGGGTAAGTATTTTATGTGGAAAACACGTTATAATCGTGCTTGTAAAAGTGGAAGTAACTTTTCGCGGCAAAAGTACGGATGACACAGATTAAACTATCTTATCTTGATACGCTCGCAATTTTGCAACTTTCGCTTCGTTTTATATCTAATCTGAAAGTTAGTAAGCCAGAATAGTTTAATATGATGGATTTTTTGAGCTAGTATTAGCACACCCACTATTGATTTTATTATTCTGGTATGCATACTAGCTTCGTGTAGCCGACGAAGCGAAGTTGTTTTCTTATTATTAGATACTAGTGACCCGCCACAGCTTCGCACGGGTGCAATGCTGATACTAAATATATTTTTGTTTTGTTTAGATTATTATCGAAAAGGGGAAATCTTCAAAAGATACCCCCTGAACATACTAAATGTACTACAGAATGTCTTTATATACAACATTCACAGTGTTTTTGTCATTAGACAATACAAACCGGCCTCCCGGCCGGTACCGCCGCAACCGCTATGTCCCTGCATTTTAAATCTGTAATATCTTCGAAAATATTAATTTAAATTACATGCTGTAAAGGGCCATATTGATATATATTAATGCACAATGTATTTAAGGTACTTAATTGGATAAGAATTAATGCTGTGTTGCTTAAAATCGCTTCGTAAATAAGTCATTATTTCTCATAAAAAGTAAAGGATAAAAATGGTTGTTGTGGGTTATCCCTAAGAGATAGACATATACCATCGCGGACTTTTTTGTAGACCCTTTTAAGATGTACAATATTGTAGTACATTATTTTGATCTATCTCGTAGGGTTCAGCCAGCGTTTGCAATGTAAGCGCAAAAATTTTTTTTTTTTCGACATCACATTAGAAACCTCTAAAATTATCAGTGTTTTCCTACTATATTATGCATGTATTATACATATAAACCTTCTTCTCTATCTTTAAAAAAAAACCGCATCAAAATCCGTTGCGTAGTTTTAAAGATTTAAGCATACATAGGGACAGACAGCGGGAAAGCGACTTTGTTTTATACTATGTAGTGATTACAATGATACTGGCTTCAAATTTTCTTACATCATGCAAATCGCTCTAGTTTATGCCGAGTAAGCCAGGACTAAATTCAGTTTACTATCCCAGGATTGAAAATATAATCATTTATCCCAAGTCTTAACGCTGTCTTGGTCGCAGCTCGTATCTCCAACTAAACATACCCTAATTCGTAGATTTACAAATACATTAGTTAGATAGTTTAGAAAAGGGGGTAAATATATTTTTATTGCCTAGAGCCTAGGGCTTCCATAAGGTTAAATTGGCAGTGAAGAAATGAATTTAAACTGTGAATTTTTTTTTAAAATTAAAACACTTATTTTACAACTCATTCAATATAAACTATAAAATCAATTTATTTTTTAAGTGGCACGAAGGCGAAGAATGACGTATTTTACTTTTAAAATTTTGACTTGTTACTCGAAATTTCGACTTGAAATACGTATTGAACCGCAATCGTAACGTAACCTAACTCAATCTCCGAAATTTCAAAAAGTGGAGTGAAGTTTTGCAGTTTTTTTATTCTCAGCTGATTTATGATTTTAAAATTATCTTTCCATTTTAGCTGTCTTGGGAAAATTAGCTGCTAGAATACGAGCAAAAACAGCAATTATGACTGATAAAAGATTAAAATTAACTCAAGAAGTATTAAATGCTATAAAAGTAGTGAAAGTGTATACACTAGAAAATTTATTTATGAAAAAACTGGGACAAATTCGCAGGA